GTACTGTGCTCCCTCTGGGCCCATACAAGAGTGAACCAGGTTGTACAAAGGCAAAGTCCGAGGCAGGGTTTCAATGAGTCCTGAGTGCTCTTATTTTTTGGCTTTTATTTTCAATGTTTGTTGCAGTAAATCCTTTGTTTGATGTTCGGGGATCAGCCAGCTGAATGGATCAAAGTTCCAAAAAGCTGAATATGCGTTTTATTGGTTTTAGTGTCCCTTCACGGCTCTTGGAGAGAGGCTCTGAATTCTGAGACTAAGGGAACCACTAAGAGTTGGAAGTAGCCTCAACTCGCCTTTCCACAAAACACGACTATAAAGCTGCAGTGTTTCCAATGGGGGGGTTCTTCACTTACGCTCTGAGTTATTACGAGCTTACAGTAAAAGTGATACTGCGTGGTTCTTAGCATCTGGAGCTGAGGACTAGAATATCGTTTGATGGGTAAAGGTTATATTATATTCTCTTTATGATTCAAAGCAAATTCTCGAATTTCACCCCAGTAACATAAAACATTTAGAATACTGAAAAAAAAAATATTGGTCAGTCTCAAGAACTGTGCTGTCATTTTCTACCTGACCCAAGAATCCTAATGGAATCAGGCCCATCCTTCTTAGAAACAAACCAAAAAAAAAAATTGCGAATTATATCTTCAGGAGACAAGACCTCCAGCTAGACATCTATCTAGTTATCTAGTGCTGCTATATCAGAAACACCACAAGTGGGTGGCTTTACAAACAGAAATTTATTTTCTCACAGTTTAGGAGGCTAGAAGTCCAAATTCAGGGTGCCTGCTCTAGGAGAAGGCTTTCTCTCTCTGTCGGATCTGCAGGAAGGTCCTTGTTTCTTCAGCTTCTGCTTCCTGGTTCCTTGGAGATCTCCATGTGGCTTGGCATCTATCTTACCCCATCTCTCTCTCTTCCCTTGTTTAATCTCTCTTATATCTCAAAAGAGATTGACTCAAGATACACCCTACACTAATCCTACCTATTAACATAACAAAGAAAACCCATTCCCAAATGGGATTATAACCACAGACATAGAGGTTAGGATTTACATCACATAGTCTGGGAGGACATAATCCAGTCCATAACATTCCATCCTTTGGCCCCCAAACTTTCATGTCCTTCCCACATGCAAAATACATTCACCCATCACGTTGTCCTAAAAGTCTTCAATCAACACCAAGTCCAAAATCTCATCTTTGGAATCATCTAACTCAAATATGGGTAAGACTTTAGGTGTATTCCATCCCGGGGCAAAATTCCTCTTCATCTGTGAACCTGTGTGATGATTAAGGTTGTGCGTCAGCTTGGCTGGGCCATGATTCTCAGTGGTTTGGCAGTTATGTAATGATGTTATCACCTCCATAATGAAATCTGATACGATGTAAATCACCTCCAGGATGAGATCTGCTATGAGCAGCTAGTCAGTTGAAAGGGAGTTTCCTTGGGGGTGTGGCCTGCATCCAATATAGGTGGACTTTCTGGCAAAGCTTGCTGGCTTTTGCTTGCTCTGGGCCCTGCACCTGGCTCCTCATCTGACCTCTGCTTCTTCAAACTTGAGCTAGCAGCTTACCTGCCGATTTTGGGATTTGTCAGCCTCTGCAATCTGTGAGCCGGAGGCCTCCATCTGACCTGCCAATCTTGGGTTCACCAGCCCCTGCAGCTATGTGAGTCAGGAGAAGCCTCCAGCCTGACCTACAGACTTGGAACTTTCTAGACCCTACAACTGTGTGAGCCATTTCCTTGAAATAAATCTCTATCTAGATAGATAGATAGAAAAATATAGATATATACATATATATACACACATACATATATACGCTTCACTGATTTTGCTTCTCTAGAGAATCCAGCCTAAGACACTGTGAAATCTAGAATACAAGTTATCTGTTTCCAAAATACAATGATGGAACAGGCACAAGGTAGACATTTCCATTACAAATGGGAAAAATTGGAGGGAAAGAAGGGATAACAGGCACCAGGCAAGTCCAAAACCCAGCAGAACAAATGACATTAGCTCTCAAGGCTTGAAAATAATCCTCTGTTCTCTGAGATCATCTGGGCAACGGCTGTGCCCTCCAGACTCTGGGTGTTGGCCTCTGGATTCTGGATGGAGGTCCTTGGCCCCTCGACCCTGAGCTTCAGCCCCACCTTCCAGGCCCTCTGGCATGGCAACTCTGTTCCCTTGGCTTTGGGCAGCCCCATTCTACTAGTCCGTCTGAGTGGCGACCTCACCCCCTCAGCCCTGACAGGCCCCATTCTTCTGACCCTTGAGCATGGAAGCCCCACCCCCTCAGCTTTGGGTGGTGGCCCCATCCCCTGGCACATCTTACTGGCAGCCCCACACTCTGGAACCGAGCTGGCAAAGATCTGACTCTTTGAAACCTAGGAGGCTGTGGCCTCACCCTTTGAGATCCAGGAGACCATGTCCCCACCCTTTGAAACCAAGAAGGCCTTGCTTCCCATGGTTCTTCCAACAGTTCTGCTGATCTCAGAGCTCTTCCAGGGATAGTCCTTTTCTTTTCTAGGAGGACAACAGATAGAGCTCTTTTGGCCTGTTTCCTGCCTATAGAATTCCAAGAAGAAGACAGTGTTTTTTCCTTTCATTCTTTCTCTGTCCCCTTCAGTCTAAGCTGATGGGTTTTCTGCTGTGGTAGTTGGTTTGATCCATCAGTCACAGGCTTAATCTCTTTAAAAAAGATTGTGTAGCCATGTCCTTGGTGAAAATTCTAGGACACATGTTCTCAGTTTGTACAACAGAATTTTCCATATCTTTAAGTTTTGTTTTCATTTTTCACAGTTCGTTTTTAAGTCCATCGCTTTGCTCTCACATTTTACTATAAGCAGCAAGCAGAAACCACACGGCCCCTTTAAGATCTTGCTTAGAAACCTCATTAGCCAGATATCCAAGTTCATCACTTACAAGTTCTACTTTCCACCAAACATTTGAACATAATTTGGACAAGTTCTTTGCCACTCCATAAAAAACATCACCCTTCCTCCATTGTCTAATCACGTGTTTATCATTTTCTTTTAAAGGCTCACTAGAAGCGCATTCAACATCCACATTTCTAGCAACGTTTTGTTGTTGGCGCCGTATGTATTCTCTAAGACATTACTTTCTCTATAGCTTTCCTCACCTCACCAGAATTGCCTTTGACATCCACGTTTCTACCAACAGTCTCTTCAAGGCAATCCAGGCTTTCACTATTAGGCACCTTGAAAATCTTCCAGCCTCTACCCATTATCTAATTCCAAAACCACTTCCATATTTTAGGTATCTGTTAGAGCAACACCCTACTCTCGGTACCAAATTCTGTCTTATCTAGTGCTGCTGTAACAGAAATACCACAAGTGGGTACCTTTAACAAACAGAAATTTGTTTTCTTACATTTTAGAAGGCTAGAAATCCAAATTCAGGGTGCTGGCTCTAGGGGAAGGATTTCTCTCTCTGTGGGCTCTGCAGGAAGTTCTTTGCTTCTTAGCTTCTGCTTCCTGGTTCCTTGGAGATCTCCATGTGTTTGGGCATCTATCTTACCCCATCTCTCTCTCTGCTCCCTTACACTAATCCTGCCTATTAACATAACAAAGACAACCCATTCCCCAATGAGATTATAACCACAGGTTAGGATTTATAATACATATTTTGGGAGGACATAATTCAATCCATAACAGCGTGCACTCTGAATAAGAGAAGAATCTTTTCTTTTCAGTGTAATTCTGCACTTAATAGGGAATATGTAAGTATTTTGAAAATAGCATGCCTTTTTTTTCAACAGAAAACTACTACAGACGAAAACACCCTGATTTTGATACTTCGTAATACTGGCTTGTTGGTGAAAATAAAGATATGCTTATTCATTAATAGTTAGTACTAGGTAATGTGTTTTTTCCACCAATAACCAAACATTTTGTATTTAGTATTGAAAATATGTGAGCCTGAGCCACATTTCCATCATTCCCAATTTTTAAGCTTCCTGGTTTTTGTTTTATTTTATTGGATTAGCTTATAATTCCTTATCATAGCTATAGAGTTTTACTTCTGGGTTTAAAAGTAGAATGGTATTTATCCCAAGTCTGTTGTATATGTGTGTTTGTCCTACTGATTTTAAGCTCTGAAAGAACAGTCATCTATGAGGGCATTTTAAAACATTAAAATGAATTCCTTTTTTTACTATACTTTTCTATATGTTTGAAATACTTCACAAGGATAAAAAAAATTAAAAATACAGGCAGAAAATTAATTTAAAAAAAATACTAATCCCTCCATTTGCTTTTACTGCCACTTGAATTTATTAGAACTTAATGCTGAAAACACAGGTTGCCTTTTGCATAGCGGGGAAAACAAGGATAAGCGTAGATCTTACTCAGGAAAGATCAGCTCCACTAACATTCAGCATTGGACCAACCATCAGATGGGTTCTGGACCCTGGGCCCTCCAGGTTTGCCAAGCATCCAGGTCACATGTGTTCCCTGTTTGGGGGGTCACTTGGAGACATGCGTATTTGAAAAATGAGTTCCAGAGAAAGGGTTTCATTATCTCTTTCATTAGCTGCTCGAAAAAGGTTCAAAAACATCTAATAACCATTGCATATTTTTGACCGTTTTCCCTCTTGTTGGTGGTAGCAATTGCCAGTGTCCCAAAAAGGTTAATCCTCTTACCAAATGGACCACGTTTTTCTTAGGATCCGAAATCGGCCAAGGCCCCGTGTTATTCAGATCCTGAGCTTTGGGCGTGAACTTGTGCCGTGACTTTCTTTGCCTCTGAGTTGGCACGGTGTCTCCTGGACTTGCAAAGCCCACACAGGGCTGCACAGCTACGTCCTCGTTCAGGTCCCCAGGGCAGATCCCCCTCCTGGGCCTCAGGCCTCTCCGTCGGTGAGTTTTCAGCCCACTCCCTCGTCGTCCACAGGTTGTGAGTGACACTGGCGAAGTCCCCGTTCTTAGCAACGGCATCCATCTCAATACAAACAGTGTTTTCCACCTTCCCTCTCCCGCAGGGTCCGGTGGCATCAACTGCATCAGCGTCCGCCTTCTCCCCTGGGCCTGGCCTTCCTCCTCCCCCTCCGCCTCCGCCTCCTCCAGGGCCACCTCCGCTTTTTGGTACTGAAGGCGGAAAAGAAGAGCCCTCTCCTTCACGCTCAGCTTTGTTTGCTCAGCTTAACCAGGGAGAAGCAATTACAAAAGGTGAGAAAGCGGGACCTGGAGGCCATCTCCCTGTCCAGGCACCAGATCCTCCAGAGCCCACACTGATATGCCGTCATCCCATCCCGGTCCCCAGCACACGGGAACTGCTACTGGGCAGGGGGAAGCACACGGTCTGCTTCATCCCCAGGCAGACTGGTTCAGGGGACTGTTGAGTGGAACAGATAGAAGAACGCAAAGCTTCTGGGTTCTAACTCTGCCCCTGTACTGCATCACCACCTCAGCCCGTCTTCTGCAATTAAGGCATCCAGATTACGTGAAACAGAAATTATACACAGTAACACTCCTGTCCTCAGGCAGTGTCCAGGCTTGTCAAAGAATTATATCATTAAAGGACCTCTGTCCTCATGAGGAATGGTTAATTTATAAATAGATAGATAATGGTATATATTTTTATATATAAATAAATAATAATGGTAATATACCATTATATATAAATATACTTAAAAAATTCATAATGGTAATATACCATTACTTATTTATTTATTTTTAAATTAACCATTCCTTATGAGGACAAAGGTCATTCAATGATATATATCCCCATACCAAACTCGTTGCCACGGAGTCGATTCTGACTCATAGCGACCCTGTAGGACAGAGTAGAACGGCCCCATAGGGTTTCCAAGGCTGTAATCTTTACGGAAGCAGATGGCCACATCTTTCTCTGGCAGAGCTGCTGGCAGGTTTGAATGGCCAACCATTTGGTTAGCAGCCAAGTGGTTAACCACTGCACCAGGAGGGCTCCCTGTGTGTGTGTGTGCGTGTGTGTGTGTGTGTGCGCGCGTGCATGCATGTGTGTGTGTGTGTGTGTGTGTGTAATCCACCCAGAGGTGCCTTGAGAGAAAATCCTGGTGGTCTACTTCCATTGAAAACCCTGTGGAGCACAGTTCTACTCTGACGCACATGGGTCACATGAGTCAGAGTCGACTCGATGACAACTGGTTTTATACACATATATATATAGTTGTTGTTGCTATGTGCCTGTGAGTTGGTTCTGTGTAATTATCACAGAACATTACGGAGCCCTGGTGGCACAATGGTTAAATGCTGGGCTGCTAAACACAAGGCTGATGATTTGAACCCACTGAGTGGCTCTGCAGGAGAAAGACGTGGTGATCTGCTTCCATAAAGATTACACCAAGCAAACACGATGGGGCAATTCTGCTTTGTCATGTGGGGTCGCTTTGAGTCAAAATCAACTCGATAGCACAGGACGGCATCAACAGAACATTTAAAATATATCAGGATCAGAAGCACATGCATTCTATACAATAAGGCCATGTGGCCAAAAAGTAGATGAAAATACATATTTGCTTCGGACAGGTAATAGGAATTATGACGTAAGTGCCCCTGTGCTCTGGGCTGGGAGCTAAGAATCCCTAATTCTAAGTTCTAAATTCCAGCTGGCTGTGCTATCCCCTCTTAGCATCATCTGCAAAGTAGAAGACTGGACTCGTAATCCTCAAGTCGATTTCATTCTCTCATATATATTTACTGGGATGCTTTGATTTTTTAGGCTATGTCTGGGGAATGATTTATCCATGACATAAGAAGTAAACTATGGGATGTTTCTGAGGAGGTGATTTGTGTTTTGCAGAATTTTTATCTATCCTCTTCAGCTTCATAAAGAAAAAGTTCCCAAAATAAAAAATTACCTCCACTGCTTCTATCAGTTCTACATTTATACAGGTCTCAGACTCTGCATCTTCACCCTGAGAAAGAACTAGACTCTTATGAGAAGAGCGTCACCAGAAATCCTGGTGCTGTTTTAGTCATGACGATCTAGGAAGTTAAGGACATCTCCCTCCTGCCGAAAATATAAAGAAATGTGTCTATGTGTTGCCCTTCTAGGGCTCCGGCACGTCACAGATGACCAGAAGACATACAAAAATCCCGGCCTACGGGCTCAAGGAGGACAAACTCGATCTCCAACCAAAAGCCACACTCCAAGTCCCACTTCTCCCACATCTTATCCTCCTCAGAAACATGCTCCTGTGTTCGAGCTGGAGGGGAAGAAATGGAGAGTGGTGAGTAATGCCCTTTCATCCTTATTCCTGACACGAGCTGACAAAAGGACCAGCAGCTAAGCCACTGACCACCGTCTTAAGGATCTCAAAGTGAAATGACAGCCGCAGAGGCCACCAGCTAGATTAGACACTGGGGCATTTTTTAATGCTTCCACCAGCTGCTCACCACGCAGCAAGAGAAACCATGAACATGTGGGACCGGGAGATCTGTGCCCCGTCCTGATCAGCGAGAGGGTGTTTCGTTGTATCCCACTGACGAAGATACTTACATAACTGCACGGTACTGCTGCCACCCACCGATTTCAGGGTAAATCCTATGTGAACTGGACAAAGGCACTTTGAATGTAGATGAAAGGGGGGCCCCCGCCCATCCAGGGGCTTCCCTAAAGATTGAAGACCAAAGTTGAGTTGCCATTGAGCCAATTCTAACTCATGGCGACCCCGTGTGCGTCAGAGTAGAACTATGCTCTGTAGGGTTTTCAGTGGCTAATATTTCACCCAGACTTGCCTCTGGGTGGCCTCAACCTGCCAGCCTTTCAGTTAGCAGCTGAGTGCATTAACTGTCTGCACCACCCAGGGACTCCAAGTCCCTGGAAGGGGCCTGAAAATACATGGTACTTAGACCCCTGTGTGATCCTCCACCAGCCTATTTGCCCCACTCCTACTAGACAGAGCAGATTGTGCCGCAGCATGATTGACTCCAGACTCAGCCTCCAGGTCTCAACCCAAAGCTCTCACATCCCCGCCTACCCCTACCCATTAGCCAGGGCTCCTGACACCTGTCCATTTGAAGATTGACCCTGACCTCCTACCAGTGATTGTATCTATTTCTGCCATTACAATGACAAGGTAAGACCTGTGGTTTAGTCTGTCTAAGAAAATGGTTCCTCAAGAAAGGAAACACTGAAAGGCTGTAAGTAATACTGAGCTCCATAATACACAGTAATTTCAGTACGTGGTGGATTCAGTCCATCTCTATATATTCTCATACTGGGCATATGTTTCCATTGTAGGAATACCAAGAGGACAGGAATGACCTTATGATCACAGACGCTGAATTGAAACAAGTGGCTTACATTTTCAAATGCAACAAGTCTACTCTACAGATGAAAGGAAAAATCAACTCCGTCACCATTGGTAGGGCAGAACTAGGCTCTGTCCTTCCTGTGAGATATTTTGTACAAACGTGTGCAGTGTATTTAATGGAGGTTTTTTTTTTCCTAGACAACTGTAAGAAGTTTGGCCTTGTGTTTGACAGCGTGGTGGGCATTGTGGAAGTGATCAATGCCAAGGACATTTACATTCAGGTAAGCGGCCCTGACGGTCACGCTCCGCTCCCTCCAGCTGCTCTGCCTGCAGGGGGAGCCCCTGCTCCCCGCGTCCATCTAGAAGGCTGTTTCCTGTCCTTCAAGCTACCACTCTGTCATCCCCTCCTCTGCGAACCCCTATCTTACAGTTTCGTGTTACCACTTGCTGTTGAGTCGATCTGATGCATGGCACCGCCATGATGTGTGTCAGAGTAGAACTGTGCTCCACGGGGTTATCAGTGGCTAATTAGATTGCCAGGCCTTTCTTCTGAGTCACCCCCGGGTGGACTCAAACCTCCAGCCTTTCAGTTAGCAGCCGAGCGTGTTAACCGTTTGCACCACCCCAGGACTCCTCTTAGTGTCTGCTCCTCCTCTGCAGTTTCTTAAAACACATCCCGTTCTACACTGCGGTTATTTTTGCGTTGCTATTTCAAGGCTAGAAGTGGCGTCTAATTAACATTTATAGCCTCAGAACCTTGCACGTAGTAGGTGTCCGATAAATGTTTGATGAATGAGTGACTGGAATGAATGAATGAATAAAAATACAAAGAGGTTCTGCTAGCAGCACAACACCTTCCTGCAGAGATTGTTTTTTCCAAGAAAACGTGGTTCTGGGTAAGGTGGAGGAAAAGGTTTTCTAAAGAGTCAGTGAGATCATCAGAACTAGAAACCAAAATATAAGAGTGCATTGCATTTGCAAAATAGAAGAAAATCTGTGCTTCTGGAGCAATTCTGATTTAGTCAGACGGGATTTTACAGTACGCTAAAAGCTAGCGGACTTCTTAGCATCAGCCAATGATAACGTCTGTGTCTGACTGCAGGCTTTTCATACTGTTAATTACCCTTTGCTCTCTGACACCTCCTAACAATGTTTGCTAAGACTGGTTTTCTAGCTCTTTCCCTTTTGCTGTACCAGGTTCTTCAGCACCGCCGCTTCTCATTGGAGTACGTTCAGTGGTACATTTTCCATCTCACTGTCTCTTAGGTGTGGTTTGACATGTGTCCACTTAATGGAAATAGCCCTGAACTGAGCATCCTGAGACCTGGGCACTAGTGCCAACGGGCCGTCACCAGCTGTGTGCACTTGGGCAATTCACTTTATATCTGACCCTGACTTCCCTGTCCTGACACGTGAGAAGGCTGGCTAGGGGGGTTAAGGTTCTCTCCTGCCTAAATTCTAAGCGTTCTTGCCACAGTCTCTATGGATACATTTGTCTCTTTCACATAAATATTCAGTTCTTAACACTAAGGAAAGCAGTGCACAAGCCAGACAAAAATGCCTGCCCTCGTAAAGCTTAAATTCTGGCAACGCTCTCTCTCCATATAATATTTCTGACAACCACATTTACCCATTTATCCACACGTCTTGTTTCAAAGTATTATGCATGAAAATGTTAAGGAAATCAATCCTCATCAGAAAAAGTTCATTTCCTCAGAGACAGATATGTGCACAGAAGTCTAATAATGAGTCCATAATTTCTGAAGTCCTGTTTTGATGGTGAAGTTCCGATGTCAAGGGCCAAGCTTTCTTCTACTTTACTATATATATTTTTTTCACTTAAAAAAACTATAAATAGCAACAGTGACGTAATATTCTATGGCAGAGATGAGAGTACATAGTTAGCCATAATTATGTAATTGTAGCACATTATAGTTGAAAAGTATCTTGGAAATAATTTAACCTAACCCCTCCCTCTTCATTTTTGAGAGTTTATTTCAAGTTCCGTTTTATTCTTACAGAACTGGGTTGAATAGCATTGATGAAACAATATATAAAGTTAGTATCATTTAAGGTAAATACATCACATTCAAAAATAAAAAACAGACGAATTAAATATAAGACATAAAACCATACAAAAACTAGAAGAAAATAGTTCTAAATAGTCATCGAATTTCTAGAAGGAAAAAAAATTCTAAATTCAGAAGTAATAGAGGAGATCATTTTAAAAGATAGAATTTTAAATGTGAGAATTCTGTGAGATACCCATGATATCTTGCTAAGAAGAAAGAACAGTCTTATACCGTTATGTGGAGCATGACTTTATTTTTCTAAATATACACATATATGAACATAGATATACACACAGACCAATCTATACCTGATAATCCTAGAAAAAAGTCAGAAAAGATATGCTACATTCTGTAACCAGATTAAGGTTATCTATCAATTTCCCATGGCAATATTCATACCTTATTATGAAACATCAGAAGAATTCCCATTAAAGTCAGGAACAAGACAAAAATTTCCTGTCACTGCTTCTGTTCAATAATGTATTAGAGGTTATAAACTATACAATAAGACAAGAAAAAGAATTGAGAGATAAAGGACTGGAAAGAGAAGAAAGAAAAAAGTCCTTATTTGCCAACAAAACAATTGCCTTTATAAAAAACCCAGGAGATTCAACAGACAAACTATAAAACTGAAGGAAGATTCAACCAGGTGCTTGGATAAAATATCAACATACAAAAATCAATAGCATTTTAATACCACAAATAAATATCACAAAATGTCATCAAAATAAGATTAAAAAACTATAAGGTATCTAGGAAAAAATTAAAACATACACAAGATATTCATAAAGAAAAAAGATGTAAACAAATGGACAGGAAGACATCAATATCAGTTGTTCCCATTTATTTAATCTGTAAATTTAATAAAATTTGGCTCAAAATCTCAACAGGTTTTTCATGAAAATGGTCTTAAAATTCATTTGGAAGACAAATGGACAAAAATAGATAAAACAATTTTGAAAAAGATGAACAAGGTGAAGGGACTTGCTGACCAAATATTAAGAGTTATTTTAAACTGTGATATTGCTGGGGGGAGGGAGGATACAAAAATAGATTAATGAACTAGAATAGAAAGCCCTGATATACTGAATAAATTTTACAACAATTGATTATCTATGTGGGGAAAAAATATTGAATTCCTATCTCACACCATACATAAAAGTAAAGCCGTAAATGTGAAAAGAAATACTTTTCAACTTTGAGGAGAAAATATAGAAGACTATCTTTATGATTTTGGATAGGGAAGAAATTAATTCTGCTTAAAAAGCATAAACTATAAAGAAAAGAACTGATGAATCTGACCTCATTGAAATCAAAATTATATATTCAACAAAAGACATCAGATGCAAACCCAAAGACAAGCCATGGATTTAAGAAATTATTGCAATGCAGATAATCAAAATGGATTACTGTCCAGAATGTGTAAAGAACTTAAATCAATCGAAAAAAGACTAACAACTCGTTAGGGAAAATGGGCAAAAAATAGTAAGGCAATTCACAGAAACTGAATTGATTGATGAATATATGAAAATCTACCTAACCTGCCTAATAGTAGAAGTGGAAATTAATACCACAATTAGCTATAATTTTTCACATTCCTCAATTTTGTATACAAGCTGTCCTCACTTTGCAAGGAGCCATGTTTTCTGAAACTCATGTGTATTGGGCCTGGACACAGTAAGAGACAGAAAGCAGATTAGTGGTTGCCTGGGGGTGAGAACGAGGATTGACTGTAAATGGGCGTTAGGAGTATTTTGGGGATGATGGAAATGTTCTAAAACTGAATTGTAGATGAGCTTACACAACTCCGCATTACTAAATATCACTGAATTGTACACTGAAAATGGATGAAGTTTTTGGTTTGAATAATTTATTTCAGTTAATGCTGTTAAAGCAAAAAAGATGGAAGGTTAAAAGAAAAAGGGGGCATGGACAAAGAGTTCATATGATTTGACCCAGTAATTCTATTTCTGGCAAACTGTCCTTGGAAAATAGTACAACTTATGCGAAAGAAAAGAGACTAAGATATTCAAAAGTTTTTTTTTTTTTTACTTTTGTATGGAAAAATAAATCCACAAAAAACAGAATTGATACAGAAACATTTAAAAATGCTAGAGCATTCACCAGGAGCCCTGGCGGCGCAGTGGTTAAGAGTGCAAGCTGCAAACCGAAAGGTCGGCAGTTAGAATCCACCAACTGCTCTTTGGAAACCCTATGGGGCAGTTCTACTCAGTCCTATAGGGTCGCTATGAGTCGGAATTGACTCGACGGCAGTGAGTTCTTGTTTAGAGCATTGACCTGGACAAGGCCCCTCATCTCCTGTCACTCAGCAGAGGAGCTGCCCTTTGGCCCAGTTCTACCGATAAGAAAGAAACATTCTCTGTTGTCAAAGTGTTCCCAGACGGCCATTGTCGAGTGCTGTGGAGTCAGCTCTGACTCACAACGAGCCCGTGGGAGCTGCCCCTTAGGGGGTCCTAGGTGGTGATCTTTTTGGGAGCAGATCTCCAGGTCTTTTCATTCAGCAGAGCCACTGGTGAGTTTGAACCACCAACCTTTGGTTAGCAGCCAAGAACTTAACCATTGCACCACCAGGGCTCCTTGTTCACAGACTACCAGAGGAGAAAGACGTAGATAATCTACTGTAATGCAGTATCCGGGTTTGATTCCTGGCCAATGCCTCATGGGCAGCCACCACCTGCCCGTGGAGGCCTGCATGTTGCTATGATGCTGAACAGGTTTCAGTGGAGCTTCCAGACCAAGACAGACTGGTGATCTGCTTCCAAAAAACCAGTGAAAACCCAGTCGATCGCAACAGTCAGATCGGCAGCAGATCATGGTGGTGACACAGGGCTGGGCAGCGTTTAGTTCATTTGTGCTTGAGGTCATCGTGAGTCGGGGGCCGACTGGACAGCAGCGAGTAACAAGAGCAACGCACCATTGACCACAGTGCTGTGGAAATGACATCTTAATGTGCCAGGGCTATTTTTTTAATTCTGCTATTGCCTTTTCAAGTACGTACGGTATTTCAGTATTTTTTTACATAATATAGCAGCATGGACACAGAAATAAAATGCATTGGCACAATGCTCTTACCTTGTGTGGCCCCACTCTGTCTCATAAATGGATCAGCTAAAACTCACTGACAACATCTTTCTCTTTACTGGCCTGGTATTATAAATACAGTTCTGGCCAGTATGTAAATTCCTCTTCATCATTATAAAATAAGCAAATCCCGAAATGACCAACACATGACTGATGACACATTCTCTGTATACTATTATTATTCAATCCATGGCAGAGCCCTGCCACTTACTTGGCCTTAAACAACCTCTGCCTTTTTGGGCGCTGGGTCTCCATTCCAACTCAGCGTTCAGTTTCTAAGGAGAGAGGAGAAAACCCGTGGCGACCGGCTAGACTCCCCCAAGGAACGCTTCGCATCACCTGCACCATCAGAAGGCTTTGCTCCTCTGGTTTGCAATCCAGTCCTCTTTCTTCAGTGTGAAAGAGAAGCTCTCTTTATCAGCTCAATCACCATTACAAGAAGGTACATTATAGAGCTGTAATACGGTCGGTAGTGGGGGAAATAGTCTGCCCCTCTGGAGATCTGGGGGGACATCCATCTGAAAACCGATTGTTGGGAGAGAAATTTAAAACCCATCAGAATTTTTGTAGCACTTAGATATTTGTAAACAATACAAAAGATCTCCTCCTCTTGTGTATGGTCCTATCTACCTATATAATGAGCGGCCTGAACCAGTGTTGGCTCCCGAAATTAATACATTTCAAAATACCTAGACACACTGTCTCATTTAAGCCTCACATTCAACCAGTGAGATTTTTATCCAGCAGAGGACTTACGTGAAAAGAATTATACTGTTTCTTATTTATTCTTTTTACATTCGGAAAAAAAAATCTACTCCATTACAGAATAATTTATTTCCTCTTAAGTGACAAGATTTAGTGCCTGTTTTAATCCAATTTGCATAGAGACTGGTCCAAACTAAAATTTTAAGCAAATAAAAGCCAATGTGACTTGTTTCTTTTATCATGAAATCAGATATATGGTTGAAATCCACTCACAGGTTGTGAGGCTTTTTCTGAACGTTTAGCTGCTGTTTTCAAATCAATCCCTTTATTTTGTTTCGGGAAAGAAACCGTGAGATTTGAAAATCCCCTTGTGTGGTCCTTTCATTCTGTCCCCAAATGACACCCACCAATTCAGCCTGGAGAAGTTGCCATTAACCAGCCTTCTCAGCCCTGACCCAACTATTCCTAATGCCTGGCTAAGCCCAAGGTAAAGCCCACGTTAAAGGAATCAATGGATTGTACTGATTTGGGGACATTATCATTTCTGTTAAGAACCAGTTGCCCTCCAGTAGATTGTGACTCATGGCGAGCCCATGCGTGTCAGAGTAGAACTGTGCTCCGTAGGGTTGTCAGTGGCTGACCGTTAGATGAACAGCGCAATGGACTCAAATACACCAACGATCGGGAAGATGGCGCAGGACCAGGCAACGTTCCGTTCTGTTGGACGTAAGGTCACCATGAGTGGGCACCAACTCCATGGCAACTAACAACCAAGGATTTCTATTGTTTTGCTTTGCTCTCAGATTTTTTTTTTTCCTTCCTGATATCAGGTAATGGGGAAAGTGCCAACGATTTCCATTAATAAGACGGAAGGTTGCCACATATACCTCAGTGAAGATGCGCTGGACTGTGAGATTGTCAGTGCCAAGTCATCAGAAATGAACATCCTTATCCCTCAGGACGGTGACTATGTAAGTATATTTGAAAAGGCTCTGAAGGATTCTTCTTGAGCCTTCATTACTAACATCCGCAGAGACTGATGAACCAACTGCCAAGCTATGAGCTCTACTGATAGAATAGTTCACAGGCAGGGCAGGAATTTAGAGAATTGCCTTTCACACTCTCTTCTCCTGTGTGTTGCTTGATGGATTCCAGTCGCTCCTGGATCTGTGACTTGCAAGGCAGTTTACTAATAATTATCTCAGTGGGCTAGCTTTTATCCAGAAGTACCCCGTGCATCTGAGTTCACGTTATTTAGGACTCAGTATTTTCCTCCACTATGCTGCTTGCAGAGGAGGCAGGAACGCTGGTGGTGCAGTGGTTAAGTGCTCAGCTGCTAACCGAGAGATCAGCAGTTCGATCCTACCAACCGCTCCGCAGGAGAAAGACCTGGTGATCTGCTCCTGTAAGAGTATGGCCTTGGAAACCCTGCAAGGCAGTTTTACTCTGTCCTATAGGGTCGCTGTGAGTCGGAATCGACTCTTGGCGGTGGTTTGGTTTTTAGTCTTTTGCTGCTTGTGGTGTAGGCAAACGGGAGAGGGATGATAATAGACTGATTTGTGCAGGTATGTTTATGGCAGAGGTTCTCAGCCTTGGCATAAGAATCATCTGGGAAGCTTGAGAAAAATGCCAGCTCCCAACCCTGCACCTAGAGTTTGGATCCGGGAGGTTTGGAGTGGGGCCCAGGAATGTGTATTTTTAGGAGGCATCCTAGGTGACTCTAGTGCCAGCAGTCCACCAACAGCCCTTCTGAGAAACACTAGCCTAGCCTACGTGACCTCGCCACCCTTTATTTTCTTTGCCTCCATTCCTAAACAAAGTAGCTTCTGAAAGAAGCATGCAGATATTCTCACAAATGAAAAAGGAAGTACAAATAATAACACTTTCTTGATCAGGCAGTGTGGTGAAGCTGGAGAACTTACCAGTCGTTGCTTCTTGGAAGTAGGAAAGTAAATACAGAGATAATTCACTCTGATTCTAACTGCGCAGGGGCCCAGTGAACACGGGAGGATGGGAGAAAGCCTAACTGAGCAGGCAGACCTTGGGAGGGGACCCACATCAGCCTGCAAGTCCATCCCCAGCCCTCTGTACAGCTGTCGGCACGCAGGGAGACTTCCTCAGGCAGACAGCATGACTCCTGCCCCTTCTCTCCTCTCCCCACCTGTCAGAAAGTTCTTTAGCTCTGCAGAGCCCTTCGCCATCCTCAAAGTCATCATTCTAGTTTCAAAAACAGAACTCTGAAAGCACTGGACCATGCTTCACTACTAGGTGTGTGGTCAGCCCACCCTGAGCTAGAGAAGAGCATCTCTTAGGCTCTCTGCCTAGAAGACTCCTGAAGACCCGGCAATTCCACTCCTAGAGACAGACCCAAAAGACTTGAAAGCAGGGACTCAGATACTTGTACAACAGTGTTCATTGCAGCATTACTCACAACAGCCAAAAGGTGGAGACAACCCAACCGACCACCAACAGATGAATGGATAAACAAAATGTGGTATACCCATACAACGGAATAGTACTCAGCCATAAAGAGAAATGAATTTCTAATACATGCTACAACATAGATGAACTTTGAAACATTACACTGAGTAAAATAAGTCACTCACAAAAGGACAAAAAATGTATGACCCCACTTACATAAAATACCTAGACTTGGCAAATGCGTCGAGACAAAAGTTTATCAGGGGTTACCAGAGGGCGGGGGGAGGGGTGGGAATTGGGGTTATGACTTAATAGGTACTGAGTTTCTGCTAAAGGTGGTGGAAAACATTTGGAAATGGACAGTGGTATGGTTGCACAACATGGCAAATGTAACGAATGTCACTGAATTGTACCCTTAAAATTGGTGAAAATGGTAAATGTGTTGTTATATATATTTTACCACAATAAAAATTTTTTTAAAAAACCCTGCTGAAGAGCTGAAGCCAGTACAGGAGAAGAGCTTCAGAGCAAGAAAGCCAACAATTAGAGGGCTCTCTGGTCCTGGCAGCCGTTTAAGCAGAAGGCTCAGCTGCATGGGAATTGGACCTGCTAAGAAAGGCAGTGGGGTTTGGATGAGCATCCTGACCAATTAAGCTGGCATCTCTGGGAGTGACGCTCAGGATCTGTATTTTTTAGAGCTTCCCAGGTGATTCTCCTATGGAGCCAAGATGGAGATCCGCGGGCGTCAAACATGAGTCTAAGTCAAAGCCTGAGCTTTGATGCTGAAAAAGCAAAGTTTGACCTACAGACCATTACCTTGTGTCCTGAGCACACGGCCCTCTTCATGCATTTTCCAGTTGAGGTGGTAGGGAGAAATACAGAGGACGTCCTGCCACGGGGACTGGGATCTGGAAATGGACGGCAAGGATGGTTCATCCAGAAAGAAATCAGTCTCTCGGAGAGCTGCCATCATACTTCTGTCATCTCCAGGAAAGACTGGAAATGGCCGCGGTGCAGGGACTGTCAAAGAATGCCTTCGCTCCAGAGCATTCTCCACTTGGCCTGATGCTGAAGAACCAGAACCAAGCCCCCATTGACTCTCAAGAAGAGTCCCAGAAGGTATACCAGCTACCCACCTCTCCAACACACACACACACACACACACACACACACACACACACACACACACTAGGTTGTTAAAGACTCTGGCTTCTTTGCTTCTTTGCTTAGTCTTAAGATTTTCCACTGCAGATTTCACTCAAGGAGAATTCATTACTCACTACAGCAAGGGCCCTCCCTTTTAAAAAAAATAAATAAATTGCTTCTTCCAAAAGATGTCATTGGGGTCTACATCTGGGAAGATATATGCTCATGGGCGTAGTCCACTGAAACATCCCATCTCACCAGCGGATGAGAACAGCATCAGTTTATCGGACGCATTGGATTTCGACCAACACTGTACAATAAATCCACTGACGCCACAGCAGTCAGGGCCATGAAGGCTGCCCCTGGCTCTCCTTTTACATCCCCTTGTGAAATGACTAGAGAACCACTCTCTGGGGAAAGGGGAGATTCCACACGAGTTTTATTTTAGCTATTCTGTACCTTTCTGTGTGTGTGTGTACCAAAGGGAGGAGTAGGGTGGCCGTGTGCAGGGTAAAAAAATTATATGCAACTCTAAGCACATTTTTGTACTTCAGGTAGGCAGGTACCCAGTTGCTGTTGAGTCAGTTCTGCCTCATGACAACCCCACATGTGTCAGAGTAGAACTGTGCTCCACAGGGTTTTCAATGGCTGATTTTTCAGAAGTAGATCACCAGGCCTTTCTTCCAAGGCGCCTCTGTGTAAAGCCAAACCACCAGCTTTTCAGTCAGCAGCCGAGTGATGCACCACACCGGGTCTCCAGAGTAGCCAGGTAACACTAGGATAAAGCCTTGCTCCTCAAAGTGTGAGCAGGGCTTCTGCCGCCCCAGCTTTGCTTGTGTGCTTGTTCGCTGCAGAGCTGGTACCTCTTTTGTGAAGCGGCAGCTGAGGAGACTCTGGCGCTCACCATGGCTGACAAAAAAACCCCGGGAAGGAGGCAAGACTGAGAACAACTGAGAACAACAATCGTATTAACTTGCAGATGGCAGGGCAGGATAGTCCTGTGGTGCGGTTAAAGATGAAGAGGCGCGCACCTCTTAGTAAGTTAATGGAAGCCTATTATGAGCAAGGTTCGTCAACGGGCAGATGAGATCCCAGTCTGATGGGCAGCCAGCCAGTCAGTGAGACAGACACACGTGGCCAGTGGGACCTGGAGGCTGAAGATGCAGTTGATGTGTTCCAGCAGCAGACAGGTGTCTGCTAAGAAGACGCAAGCTACTACTTGACTCCAGAACTCTGTGCCTACAGACGGAGAATACACGCAATTAGAAAACCACATCCTGACTACCAGTATTGTTTTCTCTATTCTTTCACTGGCCCCTTCTCCATTCCTTTACTGTACATAAAGTAACTGGTATACGTGCACAAACATATTGCGTCTTTTTTTTTTTTAACTAAATGGCCAATGGTATGTTTTGATCGACATCAAATAGAGATGGGATGGGGAACAATCCTGGTTCTGCGAAAATACCCCCTTTCCCCATTAGTGGCATGCCCATTCAGCTCTTATCTGTATATTACAGTAAGTTATTTTGCTCTCACTGTTCAACAAAAAACGACATAAATAATCCTTGCATACCGCGTTCAACTGGAGAATTTTAATGGTTTTCCTTTATCACTGTAAAACCAAAGACAATTTTATAACTTTTTTTGTACGTAGCTGTTATATCTAGGGCCATCTGTCTTCCTAACCAGCCAACCCATTGCAGTTGAGTTAATTCCAACTCTTAGCGAACCTATAGGACAGAGTAGAACTACCTCATAGGGTTTCCAAGGAGCGGCTGGTGGATTCAAACTGCCAACCTTTGGTTAGCAGCCCAGTTCTTAACCACTGTGCCACCAGGGCTCCAATCTGTCTTGAAAAAACCTGTTAATACCCGTTGCCCCCGAGTCAATTCCAACTCATAGTGACCCTGTAAGGCACAGAACTGCCTCATAGGGTTTCCAAGGAGCAGCTGGTGGATTTGAACTGGTGACCTTTTAGTTAGCAGCCGAGTTCTTAACCACTGTGCCACCAGGGCTCCCTTTTTTAACCCTTTGCTGGGTTAAGTATAACCAAACCAAACCCGTTACCATCGAGTCGATTCTGACTCATAGCGACCCTATATAGGAACTGCCCCATAGGGTTTCCCAGGAGCGCCTAGTGGATTCAAACTGCTGACTTTTTGGTTAGCAGCAGTAGCTCTTAACCACTGTGCCACCAGGGCTCGGACCCATTACTGTCCAGTCGATTCCAACTATAGCGATGCCATGGGACAGAGTACAACTTCCTCGTAGGGTTTCCAAGGAGCGGCTGGAGGATTTGAACTGCCAACCTTTTGGTTAGCAGCCTGAGCTCTTAACCACTGTGCCACCAGAGCTCCCCTTTAAGTAGGGATAAACTGCTCTAAAAGAAATGAATCCTAGATACTTTCCCCCTTCAAGTCAAGCATCTTGCCGTTTAAATAAACCTCTTGTTTTAAAAAAAAAAAATTGATCAGGGACCAACAGCCTCAACTCCACCTGGGAGCTTGCTGGAAATGCAGGTTCCCATTCCCTTCCCCAGACCTACTGAATCAGAATCGCACTTTATCAAGATGCCCAGGTGAGTCACGTGTGTGTTGGAGTTTGGTCGAGAGAGTGATGGTTAAGAGAGACCATCTAGGTTTGGATTCTGGCTTCTCTGTGTGTTAGTGATACCATCTTGGGCCAGTCTCTTGACCTTGCCAGACCTCTGTTTCCTGTAGATGGGGTCTCCATGAAGCCTAGCTCACAGGGTGGTTGCAGAGAGTTAACTGAGGTCATATATGCCCGGTGCTTTAACGAATGCCTGGTTCTGAATACGTGCGGCACACAGCCACAGTCCTGATAGTACATGCTTTTGCAAAACAAAGAGTTAACTATGATATTTGTTTGTGCCTTTTCAGTCCATAGTGCTAAAAAATCTGCACGTTTTTGCAGACCCAACACAAGCATAGATATCGTACCTTTGGAATACACCGTTTCCATGTTTTTATTATCTTCCATATCCATATAGGAGCCCTGGTGGCACAGTGGTTAAGAGCGTGGCTGCTCACCAAAAGGTCAGCAGTTTGAGTCCACCAGCTGCTCCCTGGAAACCCTGTGGGCAGTTCTGCTCTGTCTTAGAGGGCCATTGTCAGTTGGAATCGACTCGACGGCAACGGGTTTGGTTTTTGTTTGTTTTATATTCATATAATATTCAAATTACTAATGCCCATGCACCAGGGTTTTGCTATAAGAGTTTTGTCCATTGCCAGTCTTCCCATGACACTGAAATGATTCCTGCAGGGAAGAACAGAGGCATCGCCACAATCTGGGTTTGGGTTCGATAAAATTTCCTTGCCCATCATAGGGCATCAAGCCCGCCTGTTTTCCACAGGAAGCCTCAGTCGTTTAAATGGCTTTGTTCTTCTTCCAGAGAGAATTTCCTGTTCCTGAACAGTTCAAGACGACGTGGAATGGATCCAAGCTGGTCACTGAACCTGCAGAAATTCTAGCCTAACCTCCAGTGACAGCGAATCCCGATTTCCTGAACCTCCCATATCCAGGAAGAAAAGGAAAAGCCGTGTGGAAGACTTAGAAGTCGCAGTGGCCCTTGCTGCCTTGGTGGGCTGCCAGGAATTCCGTGCTGGTGCCGTTCCTGGCACGCTGGCGTGGGCATTGTGAAGGATTTAGTGCTTCTTCATGGTTTGCCTTCATGTGTGATTTTAGTGCCACGTGACTTGTGAGCATTATAGATTTAAAGGTTAAAAAAAAAAAAGAATTCTGCTCCCCTCATATCATGAACACAGTAACAGGTAAAAATACTGCATGATTCACTTTTATGTTTACTTGCTAGTTGAAAAATAAAATCTTCGCGAGCCTAAGATGTACCTTTTTACCTTTTAGATAATTTCAGTATGATAGATAGTAACAGTGCACCCTGAAGAGTGTACAGTTTTTCGTATTTTTGATCACACGTTCACCTGTATCAGCATGAACACACTGTGAGCGTGGATACATATTTCAGCCCACATTGTTTTTTTAAAAAATAAGAACGTTCCGTATTAATGGTCAAATTTACTTTCTTGGTCCTTGGAAGACTATATTCTTTATAGTTACTTAAAACCAAAAATAAATTCTGATTAGTCATCGTAAATTTTTTTTTCTGCCATGTTGCGTGAAAAACTTTCATGCATAAAATTTTTATGCCAAAAAGTTGGTGGGAGGAAAGCCGTTTTCCTTGACATATTTATAATACCTCACAGTTTTCCCCTAAAGATCACGCTCAACTTCTGTTTTCCAGTTCTGAACCTGTAAGTGATGTCTTTAATGCTCTACTTGCTAGCCAGTCTCAGAAAGAAATGTGAAAAAGCCATAGACATATGACTTCTTCTAAAACGTAAGCAGTTGTTGGTTGCTTTGGCTCGCTGCTGCTGTTTTGCGGTCTTCGTGGTCCACGCTTTTTCAACCCAAGAGTAACTACAATATGCGTTTGTGTCTCTTCAGTCCATAGAGCTAAAAATCTGCAACTTCTTGGATCACATGCACTGAATTATAGCATAATGCTTGCAGACCCAATACAAGCTATATATTGTGCCTCTTACAGCCTTTGGAATACACTATTTCCGTTTTTAAATATCTTCTATATCCATATAGTATTCAAATTACTAATGCTCACGTACCAGGGTTTTGCTACAAAAGTTTTGTCCATATGAATACTGTTGTGGCTTTAGTAAACAGCATTTTTCAACTGTAAACTTATTCTGAAATAAAGTAAAATTCTAATTGTTTAAAGACTATGATTTATTCTGGGTGTTTTTTTTTTTTTTTTTTTTTTTCCCCTCCTGTGACTTGTCCCTTGCTTGTGTCAGATTTAAGGAAAACAGCCGAGTCCTTCTGGTTAAATTAGAGAATTTACCCAGCCTTCCATCAGCTTCCAGGTATCTTGGAGACGGAGATCAGATAAAGTGATTTGTAGTTGGAATGAGTGTCAGTCAGAAAAGTCTAGAATCCAGTTTTACAATCATCCTCATAGATCTTTGTTAATGTGAATATCCCAGCAAACAAATTTATGATTACTGATATTCAGAGAAATATTCTGAAGGACAAAAAATTTAAAGTGGAAATAAAAATTCTAAGAAAGGATGTGGTGCATGCCCATTATATAGCAATAATTTCATATTGAGAAGTGTCCCTTCAGAATTCTTAGAATCTATCACCAGCCTTGAATTTGTCATCCGCCTTTCAAAACACTTCACCACAGATATTGAAAATCTGGACTTGCGGTTCAGACAATTATGTTACCAGCCCTGTACCGTGTTCACACAGATAACACACACCTTCTACGTGTGTTTACCAGCCACGCCCTCTGCCCCTCCCCACGCCGAGGTATTTTTGCAAGTGTCACTATGAGAGTGGTGCTTACACAAACTCCTCGCAGGAGGAGGGCACATGCATCACTTACATAAAATATGGTATATGCCTTAAGTCACCAACCGGCTTTTGAGTAGGTTGACTTTGTTGGCGGGGGGTGGCTCTTGGCAATGTACAGGACATAAAACAATCATCAAAAATACTGCTTTCACAGTATGCTTTCTCCCTGCACGTGGCTGAATTCCAGCGTCACCGACGTCGTGACCTAACACCATCAAAGGAGTAAGAAAGCTCCAGTTAGTGGAACTGCATGTCATGGACAGTCACGAAAAGTCAAAACCAAAAGTCTTACATCCCTAAGTGCTGAGGGTCTCCTACATCTCTTTCCTTTGAAGTATTCCAGGATAAAAACGATAAAAAGAATCTCCAAAAGAGAGATTTATCGTCATGAAAATCTTTTCTTTGACGTTGTTAGTTGCCGACTCATGGTGACCCCATGCGTGCAAAGAGCTGCTCCATAGGGTTTTCAAGGCTGTGAGCTTTCAGAAGCAGATTGCCACTGTCTTCTGAGGCACCTCTGGGAAGATTCGAACCGCCAACCTTGCAGCTAGTAGAGAGCTTAATCATTTGCGCCACCCAGGGGCTCCCCCCCTAGTAGAAAATCTGTTAGTGACAGTCTTCCTTACACAGCAAAACATCTCAAAGTGAGTAGTCAATACTAACCACTTCTCATCTACTGAAATTCTTTCTAGAACTGGCAGGGAACACGTACAGCTTTATTCATTTACTCTTTCATTCATTGAAAATACCTCAACTTTTTAGAATCTGGAAGAGTTTATCTAGGGAACCCCTCAATTTAAAGACAAGAAAGCAGAGAGATCCGGTGAGGTTAGCAACTTGCCTGAGGACAGACAGGCAGCAGGTTAGAGGCAGAACACACGCACCCTTTTTATAACTAATTTGTCTTCTAGTCTCACTACATTTCTGACACTCTCAAGGGTCACCAAATTCAGTGGCTTTAGCTCACTCCTCATCTGAGCTTCTTGACACTGCCCTTTTCCTATTAGAATGACTCCCGTTGATTTTCTGACTCATAGCCACTCTCTATGACAGAGTAGAACTGCCCCATAGGGTTTCCTAGGCTGTAATCTTTACGGGAGCAGATTGCCAGGTGTTTCTCCCGTGGAGTGGATGGTGGGTTCAAACCACTGACCTTTTGGTTAGCAGCCAACCACTTTGCTATTGCAGCACCAGAGTTCCTTTGATTTTGTGTTACACAACACGGTACAATTTTCTAGCCCCTCTCCAATCAATATTTTTGTTCCCTTTCAGTGCTTATTTCTTTCTCTAAACTTGATCTATCAAGTCTATGTAGATAATTCCCAAATCCACATGCCCAACCCAAATCCATCTCCCCAGATTCGTAACTCCAAGTATCCACAGAATATTCTATCTGTTGTCCCAGCTTCACTCAACATGGCTAAAATTAATGCACATCTCCCACACATCCATATTTTCCTTATCTGCCTTTTCTGTTCCTGTCAATGGCCCAGTACCAGCTGCTGTCAAGTCGGTTCCAACTCATGGTGGCCCCATGTGTATCAGAGTAGAACTGTGCTCCTTAGGGTTTTCAACGGCTGACTTTTCAGAAGTAGGCTGACGGGCCTTTCTCCAAGGTGCCCCTAGGTGGATTCAAACCTCCAACCTTTTGATTAGCAGTTGAGCGCGTTAACATTTTGTACTACCAGGGGAATCCATCTGTCAATGACCCCATCGTATTTTTCATCCTAGACTTCAAACCAGCCATTTCCTGTGATGGGAAACACTGAAAGAGAACCAGCTCTGGGGGCAAAACCACGTTTAGTCTTCAACATGGTTACTTCCGGGTATCTTTGTGACGTTTCATCGGAAATGGAGAGGAAGCAGTTGGATACAGGGTCTGAGCCCTTTCCCTTTTCCCAGTACCAGATCCTTCAGAATCATTTCCAAAGTTTAATATTTCAAAAATGACTTTCATGAAACACGTTCATTTCAAAAGAATTATTTTAAACCACTGGCACTTTCTGCACCGCTTCAGATATAGATGCAATTTTAAGGATTTTAATTGCTTCAACTAAGACAAGCTGACTTTATAATCTTCCACAGATTTCTTTTGCAAGTTTAAGCATCTCATTGTCTCTGTGCATGATGAAGCTTATATCTATACTATGTGTGGAAAGTAAGCCAGCTCGCATTAGCCAGTGACAATTCAGCCAGATTTCTCCTATTGATTTTTGTTCTTCTACTATCTGCTTAGTAACTTGGCACAGAATATGCAACCAACAAAGGGTGATCTTTGCCTATGAGTAGAGAATTTTTGCCAGGCTTCCCATCAATAAAAAATAAATTTTGCCAAAAACCACAACTTGGAATATGTCCACTTCATTACAATACTTTGCTTTTTTAGGACCATGACAGCCAGAAATGATACTTCACCATGATACGGAGATCCAGATGAAAGAAATACATCATTGACCACACTTACTAAACCATAATATCCATTTTTAAATCCCATTCAAATATCACAAAGGTTTCTTCGCTGAAATTCAGCTGGTAATGCCCATGATAGCAATCATTTATTCTGTCAAATTAATGGGAAGGTGTGCATTTTTAATGTGTTCTGTTATTTTTAATAACAACTCTATGACCTCATTCCTTGGACTCAGAGGTCAATAAACCCACCATAGGAAGCCATCCCAGGAACATAACAGTTCTGTAGGTGTATTTATGAAGCGTGAGAAATGCCCCCATTCTTGCCTGCACACTGTCCCTGTGGGGTCTAATCACGACCTCACATAATGAGTGGTGCACCTCCCTAGCCGGGGTGATGCCAATGACACATGTCCCCCAGCAGCCTACCCCGCATGCAGCTGCTGTTACGAAACACCCTGCTTCAGGCACCTTTCTTCAGTTTAAAAGCTGTAGAGAAATCAGAGGGAGGCGGAAGCAGACTGTCAGCTCTAGGGGAGTGATGGCCTCCTGCAACCAAGCAGGAGAAACATCTACAATCCTTCATGGATATTCAAAGACATTGTCCAGGAGCCTTATTAAAAGACACGTAGGGACCCTGAAAGAGTCGCCAGGTGGTGCAAACTGTTAACACGCTCA